GAGCAATTTAGCATAGCTCCAAGAGAGGCGACGATGTAAAGGAGAGCCAAGGCATTTAAGCAGACCAAGCACAGCCTCCTGGGCACAGAGGACTCTCTCGGCAGCGTTGGAAGAGCAGCAGTCCGGCTGAAGCAGAGGCTGCGAGAGGACAAACGTTTCTTGTGGTGGCGGTGCCCGTTTGAGCAGTCCTCTGCTCATTCCTGCCCCACCGGTGTTCCCATGCTGCTCTTTGCGAGGCCGCGGAGAGGACCGTGGGAGGGGACCCATCTAGCCCAAAGCAGAGGCAGGAAAGCATTAGGAGCAAAGTTGGAGCAGACTACTTAGCTGCCACTACAGCTGAGAAAAGTCAAGCCAGACCCTGATTCCAAGCTGGAAACAGTTGCCCAATTGATAAATAGCATTAAACTTGGAGCAATCTGAAGGAAAAAAGCTAGTTAGCACCTGAGGATTAAATTGGGGGGTGTTAAGAAAGCGATAAGGTTGTTAACGCAATCATGGCCCTCTCAGGAAATGGGGGAGGATGCCATTCCAGGTAATTGCATTTCAGCAGGGTTCAAGCACAGCTGGGTTCCTGCTGCTGGACTCGTGTGGGCTCCTGACCTGGTAATAATTCAGCCTGTCCCTTCAAAGTAAATAGGACGTAACCTACAGGGCATAAAGATCTCCCGAAGGGAGCTTCCAGACTTGCCCTTCTGGCACTGGAAGAAGGCTATGTTGAGTCAGACAAAACCTGGTATTATTTTAGGGATTAATTCCCAGTCAGGGTTCAGTGGAAGCTTGGGAAAATGTTGCCAGCTGGGAACCTTCTTGGACCAGCTAAGCCCATTTAGGGTGTGCTGCCTACAGAGAAAGGAGACAAAAGGGTCCTTTCCACCCTGTGTTCCTACTGCTTCTGACACCTGAGCTCAGCTCCTTTGGAGATGGTAGCGGAGAGCAGCAGCTAGCACACCGGCTTCAGGAAGAATTACACAACACAGTGTTTACCTGTGGGGAAGTACTTCCACTGTTGCTTATGCTGGTGGGAAAGCCCTGATAAGTTACTCTGCTGGATGCAGGACTGTGCAGGAGGCTGCTGACCAGGCTTGAAGTCACAGACCTGAGCAAGAAAAAGGGACTAGAGAGTTTCTACCCTATAGGCACATTGGGTTTTTCTAGCATTTGATGCTGAGCTTTGCACTATGGAGCAAGTCAGATCGACTAATCATAAGGAACCTTTCTGGCATTAAAGTAAGTGGCACTTGTGTGGAATTGTGCTGGCCTAGAAATGGGCTTGGCTAGCTTCATCCAGCCTGGTGGGGTGGTTTGTGTTAGCAACAGTCTCCCAGGAACTCTCCTGTGCTCTCAGCATCATCTGAAAATACAGGTTGGTCAAGCAGCACTGCAAGGCAGAAACAAGTCCGAACTGTACCAGAGCCAGGTAGTAACACAGGTCCAGTACTGCAACACGGAGAAGACTAGAGCAAGGCTTTAAAGACTCCTAGGGTGGCTTTGGTCGGACACTCAATGAGGTAGATTCACCCCCACCCCCAGGAGCTCAGCTTTGTTCACGGGTTTCAGGGAGTTTTAGGGTGCTTATTGTGCACATGACAGGATATGGCTCAGTGGGATGACTCACTCCCCGTAAAGTTAATTCACACTTTGCTGCTATTTCCATTCACAGGTTCTTCCGTAAGCTTTAATGCTGGGAAGCTGCAAAGCTGGGAGCTGACTCCAAATAATCCCACAGGTCGCTTTACATCTAGCAAACAGCAGACTGCAGGAGGACAGCGTGGTCTCGGATATCTTAAAAAAAAAGTTCCCAAATCAAGTTTTATCAGCAGTAATTCCCTATTGTCTTCTATTTTCTGAATCACATTTGCTCATTACCTCTGCTACACCGTGGTATTTGTCCCTTTTCTTTCCTACCTCTCTGCTGAACTCCCCCAGCAGCCTCGCTTCCCAGCCCTCTGCCTTTGGAGCAGCTGTGGGGCCCCAGATGTGGGCAGACTGGAGCCCTGACCTACCTGTGATGCTGATGATAAGGCTAAAAGAATGAGTCCTGTGAGCTATCTTGGATAGAGCCTTTGTGTCCTATGTGGCACGGACAAAATTTTTCAGCACTTCAGCAGTGTTTAACTACCAAGGGAAGTTAAATAAAGCTGGTTGCTAAATTACCCACCAGCCTAATGACAGAGCAGCACGCTGTTATTAAGGCTCCAAATGCAAGTCCTACATGGGCTTGTCTCAGTGAGTGCTGGGAGGGCCTCCTGACTGGTCCCTGGACGGTGGCTTCTGGGGAGAGGCACTGACAACTTTGGATGTTTGCTACTCCATCCCCCTTGGCAGCCTCCACCCTGAGCGGCTGCTGAAGGAGAGGAAAATTAACTGAGGCAACAGAAGGATCTTGGAAGGTTTCAGCTATGAGGGGATTTTTACCATTGCTAGTGGGGGATAGGACATGGAGGGAGAAGTGGGGCGATTTCCTTCTTATGCTACTGTCAGTAAAATGGAATAACTCCTCCTCCATCTTAAAGCCCAGCTTATTTTGTGCTGACAAAATTACAAACACAGATCGGAGACATTTAAAAAATTTATTTGAACGAATAGTAGACACAATCACAGAGGAAGAAAGCAGCTCTCAGTACAGCTTCTTTTCCAGAACGAAATAAGCCCTGTTTCATACCAAGCTACTGCAGGACAACCCTTGCTCTCCTCAGCAGGAGGGAGGCTGGTGTTCTTTCCACCTGTGGATTTGCTCCACAGGGGTATGGTGTGCTCCTCAGCAGGTCACACCGCAGCCCTCGGTCTCACAGGCTAAAGAAATGCATAAAGACCCAACAGACAAACTGAACTAGCAATACAGCAAAGGTGCCTGTACAGGTAGGAAATACGTGCAGGGATGCATTGCTGAGTGAGAGCTTTGTTCGGGAAGTGGTGTCTTGCCAAGAGGCCTGTGGGACATGTCCCTTCTAGCTACCGCCTCTGTACTTTCCATCTCTTCGGAATCCTCACCGGACCTGGATGGCATTTCAGTTGGGGGAGTCCTTTCAACACTCAGCTCATTTTGACACGCCATCCTTTCAGGTCTCTAAGCCTTACCCTACAAGCAGCTCCAAGGCTGTGGGCCACATCCCTTCGCAAGAAGACCTGCCCACCTCTTTCATACTATGATATCCCCCAAGGAGGCAGCAGGCTTGTCTCACGTCCTGGAGCCTGTATGAGCTGCACCACAAAGAGAGATGGCTCTGAGAGAGATTTCCAGGCATTTCTCTGGATCCAGAGCCATGCTGCATTACTTGCATGTGTTTTTTACAGGCGCACTAGCTCGGGCATGCTTGCTTTTGGTGCAGGGCAAACAATCCACAGCTATATCCCCTTCTGCAACGTTACTGCAGAGCGTCCCCAAAGTGATGGGCCATGGGCAGATGCAGAGAACCCCCTGAGTATTGAAGGCATTGCTTGACAGACCTGTCACACTCTCTGCTACATAAACCAGAACGAAATGTCTCTATGAAAGAAGTTTTAGAAATTGATGCAAGTTCTGTAGTAAAATGTGAACAGACTCACTAGGAAATTAATCCCTCGAGAAACAGGTGAGAGTGGAACGGAGCAAACATAGTGAATGTTTTTGTCTGGTAGGAACTTCATGGATTTCCTTTGCTTTTGATTTCAGCAGATCAAGCAGTGACTTTTAAGAAAAGGAAGCACAACAGAAAGAAGCCCTGAGCCCTCCATTCCTGTTCTGCAGCCTCAGGAAGAACAGTACAAGGTAAATTCTGTTCTCCTGTGTAGATCTGAAACTGAGGATTTTACTGACAAAGAGGAACTCTGTCTAACTCTCCCTCTCACTACAACCCCTTCCTTTTGATTCAGAACTTAACATATGGACAATATTACTTTGAAATTGAGATCACTAGCAAGTTTTCCAGGTCCCTAGAAGATTCCCTGAATACTAGCATCTCAACTAAGCAGAATCACAACTCTTAATTTAACAGTGTTCATTCTTCTTTCCTTCTTCATCTCCCTTTCTTCCTTCTATCTCTCTTTACCCTTTTTATTGCCTTCCTTTTCTCCCTTCTCTCTTCTCCCTTCATAACATGCATGGCTCTCCATCTACATTTCACCCCTTGGTAGTGTTGCAAACCCTTCACTGACAGAGTTTCGTCTCTGCTAGACAGACAGAGCCACTCATCACTGTTCCTCACCTGTTCTTTCTCTCAAAACACCACACACGCAAAAGGTCTTTCAAAATAGGTCCCCAAGTTCAGTTCATGACTACCTCTTAAGATAGGACTATAGCACTGGCACCCACCGGACTACAGAGTCCTCTCGGAGAACATTTTGCTTAAAAAATTACTGTAGCTGCCAGTGCATTTTCTCTTGAGCCTGCTAATGGCCTTTATTTAGGAAAAACCTTCTCAAGGGTACTCACAATTCAGGGCCTTTAAGAAAGAGTGCTGCTTTTTCACAGCCAAGTGGCTTCTACCTATTTTGGCAAGCAGAATCAGAGAGGGAACCCAAGTCTCGTGTTACAAATTCCGCAGCGCATGTCTGACCACATTGCAGTGGCCTGTAACTGCCCCTGCCCTACTCTCTGCCATGCCTGTAAATCAGCCAAAACATAGGCAGACTTCAAAAGTACCTCACATTTATTATGCTGCGTCAGGACTCCGTAAGTGTGTTAGCTTCAGACAGAAAACTGGTCATTTTGAACAATGTAAGGAACCTGCCTGCTCTGGGGTACTGAGTCTTGGTGTATTAAAGGCTCCCATTAGTCTGGGATACTACAGACATGTCCAGCAGGTACTTATAGCTGCCTGGACCATTCCACATCCCGGCACAATGGAAATCCAGTTCATGTCTCCTAGGCATCTGATACTGTAACCCAGCAAGAGCCAGGTTTCCAAGCCCAGCAGCTTATCATACCCTCCTCGCTGGGGCCATAGGAGCAGTCACTCCAAGAAGGTGCAGAGCCAATACTGCCATTGGGTGTTTCTTTTTTCTCCCCCCTCAAAGCAGCTTCAGACAAAGCAGAAGAACTTCTTCCAGCGGCACTTGGAGAGAGTTTTGATGCCTTTGGCAGTCATCTTCTTTTCCTGCCGTGCTTTGTGCTCGACACCACTCACAATGGCCATGTCGAAAACTTCCTTGAGGTTCTTCTGGGTCAGTGCTGAGCATTCCAGGTAGGCTTCAGCCCGGATTTTGTCAGCTAGACCTTCTGCCTGAGGCCGGGGCACGGGCTTCACGTGGTAGCGATCCAGGCTGATGAGGACATTGACGTCATCCCGCAAGTCTGCCTGCGTCCCCACCAGCAGCACCGGTGCCCGGGGGTTGTGAGTTCGTATCTCAGGGATCCATTTCTCAGTAATGTTTTGGAAGGAGCTTGGGTTTACCACACTGAAGCAGACAAGGAAGACGTCGGTGTCAGGGTAACAAAGCGAGCGCAAACAGTCAAAGTCCTCCTGTAGAAAATGGAGGGGTGGGGGGGAAAAAGTCTTCACTGGACTGATCTCCTAACAGCTTGATGCTGCAGTGGCTTTTTCACACGTTAACTAGGACAGCAACACCCTCAGAGGGAGGGCATGGTGCTGACTTTGTGGCCATGCCACGGTTCAGGCACAAGTTTCAGAGCTGTGGAAGTCTGTCATTCACCTCTCTGTGACTGCCATACCAGCAAACAGCTGATGCTGGACTACTGCATTTCCTTCCTTCCCAGTTAAACGCTGTCTTCCCCAAAAGCCTGCAAACAGTCCCTGTCCCACAGGACCAGAGCTGACAGCTGCTTCGATAGAGCTTACCTGTCCAGCAGTGTCCCACAGCTGGATCCGGACTGGGGCTCCATCCACCAGGACCTGCACTGTAGCAGAAAAAGAATAAGGATGAGTCTAAGGGAGTTGCCCAGCATACACATGTACACTCATACAGGTTTTTCCCCAGAGCGCTCTGTTCTGTATCCCACTGAACAGAGTCGTTGGAGTCACTCAAGTCTGTCCTCCTTGCTGAGCATCCTCCCAAACCTCACTAATACAGCTGAAGCTTGCACTGGGAACATTAAGAGACCTGCAGCAGACTTTCTGATTTGGTTATCCCTCAGGCATTTTGGGTTCTTCTCCAGTATTTTGAAAGAATCGTTCCATATTACTGGACAACTGCTTCTCTAGAGAAGAAGAGCCCTTAGCCAAACAGTGCCCTGAGAGCAATTTGTTGTTGTTCTTCCACAGCCCAAGAAAGCAGATAAGGATAAACACAAACTGAGAACTTCAGCAACTTGTGCCTAGCGTTTTGGCCCAGAGTGGAAGTTCAAATCGGTTTCCTTTAAACAAGCTACTGGAGACTTTTACCATCCAGGCCAGAAATTTGGCCTTAAAAAAAAAAAAAAAAAAAAGCATTTCTGTGAGTGTCCTAGCTAAGGAAAAGCAAAAGACCTAAACACAACTTTGAAATGAAGAAGCTATTAAGGAAACAGCGATGAGTGAAATCCCCTTCAGAGACTATGCACACACTGAAAAACTGCTGAGTTACGTAGGTAAGGTCTGCTCCCACTTCACTCCCTAATCAGAGTAAGCCTTCATGTGGTATCAGCTGACTCAGACTGAGGGCTGGCAGGACCTCTGATGGAAATCTGGAATGAAACTGTTAGATGTTTAAGTGCAGAGACTAGCTAGGAAGCCAGGAAAAGGAGAAAGGGGTTGGGGGAGCTGGAAATCACTTGAAAGTCCTGACAATATGGATGGGGCTGTGCTTTGGTGAATAAAGGAAGGCATCCTGGCTAAGGTGACAATGGCTGGCTCTTGACACGAGCTAGCTAAATGCCCTTGCTGTGCCCAGGAGGAGGCTTTATCGTCCTTTTTGTAAAAAAAAAAAAAAAACAACCCCCAAACCCCCAAACAGAAGCAGTTTCAATCTTTTGTGATTCTTGAAGTAATTAGCCAGGTGAGAAACACGACAGAAACAACTGACTTGGGAGAGTTTAACACAAGCTCTTGGAGGAGAGCACTCCTTCTCCCTGAAACCAGTCTGGGGAGAAGGAGGGAGACACAGACAAAAGATGAACCGAAGTTTGGTGGGAGACTGAGACTGAAGGAAAAAATGAAGGGGTGGGTGCACCCACCACAGTGCCACTCCTCACCAGTGTAACTGAAAGTCATTGCTTCCTTGTGACTGGGAAACGGTTGGGTTGTTGCCAAATCTTTGCCCCAGAGGAGGAAGAGAAACCTGTTCCTGATCAAAGAACCTGCCAGATCCTGACTTGATCTTCAAGGCACTGGGCATTTGCCTTTCTAGTATCTGGTTTCTTCTGTCTCCCAGCGCCTTGAGAGAAGGAATTAGCATCTCTGAGATGTTTTACAGTCTTCAGAAGAAAGGCACCACATACATTACCTGCTGCTCCAGTGCTTGCACAAGGTTTTTTCGTACCTGCTGCTAGCCTAAGCTACGCTAGCAACTCTGCGACAGCCCTCCAAATACCGCCCTCACAAGGTCCACACCCTCAGGATGAGGCTGGATTTCGGTAGGGTAGCGAAGGGGCTGGCAGAACAGGATAGCCTGGTGGAGAAAGGTCACTGGGTACACGTTTCACTCAAGGCTGCTCTACCTGGCAGTGACACCCAGCAGTAGGTAGCACCCAGACAAATGTGGCTGGGTCACAGTCCCAGAGCCGTTCCCCTGATAACGCAATACTTTCTCCTATCTTGTTATTGGCATTACAGTCCATTGACCAGAATTAGGGTTAGGATGTAAACTGTGAAACTCAGTTCTGCTGGCAGTTTCAACTGCAAGTATTCCCCAAGAGTGGAGAGAATTAGGCTGAAATTTCTGAAATGGATCTTCAACCGTGCTTTGTGAATCCAGGGAGGGACTTTCTTCAAGTTTATCCAGGTTAAGAGTAGGGGTGGGAAGGGAAACTTCTCCATTCTCCCATTTCCTCCCAATAAGCAGAAAGTGAACTTTGGAAGACCCGTTTTTAATGGTTTGTATTTCTATCAGTTGCAAATGCTATGCACTTCTGGAAGTCAGGCTCGCTACTTGGACATTCAGAGTGGGGCTAAATCCCTGTGCAGCTATCTTCAAATTACTTGCTGCTAACCAGGGAGTCTCTGAACTCATACTGCCTCCACCTTTCTGCATCATTTCGCTACGGATTTGCCCTTTCCAAAAATGTGGAGGCTAACCACTATGGTAGTTTCAAGCCTCTCTTAGCCCAAACTGTACACATCAGTGTAAAGGGAGCAGAGGGAGCAGTAATCTTTCCCTTGGAGAACTCAAGGGCTCCTTACATCTGCTCCTAAAGGGCTGCTGGACCCTGATCAGCAGCATGTTCCCAGTTCATTTCCTTCAAGTGACAGTGGAAGAGCTTGGAGAGGGTCAAGACAAATCAACAATTCCCAGCGTCAGAGTCAGCAACTGGGGGAACATTCAAATAAACAAAACACTCCCTCTAAGAACCCCTGAGACTATGACACATTAGAAGTCTCGTTCCCAGTCTGACTTGATCCCATCTCTAATCTACTGATCTATACTGTCATGTACTGTTGTGTCTCTTTGTATCAGATGAAGAAGAGAAATCTTTCAGAGGGCTTTGTACTTTCCTGGGGTTTATATTAGAAATTGGAGCCCAAAAGAAAAGGAGCGGAGTACAGGAACAAAGATGGCATTTACGACAGTGGAAACTAATGAAAGCTCATCAGCTGACAGGGAAGGCAATTCTAGCCAGACTTACAAAGCTCTTCAACTTTTTGGCAACCTCTGTTCAACGCTAACTTCAGTGGACATGCAGGAAAAAGGATGTTACTGCTGAGTATCGGTAGAAGCTAGAAAGCCTACAGCGCATTGCTATGATATTTCTGAAGCTAAACCCCAACGACAAGAAATCAAGCCCCCTTCTGTTTACTCATAACACCCCCACAAACCCAGGAAGGCGCCCAATTTCACAGGGCTGGCGAGCCAACTCGACGCGCGCCCTGCCGACGCACAAGGCTGCGGAATACAGGACTTCCACCTGCTGAACTTCACCAAACGCCTGACGGACTCGGTCCCAGTTGCAGAAAACACCCTTGGCGCTTTGTGTCCGTCCCCGTCCCACCCCCCAGGCTGTGCTCACCCTACACCCCCAAAGCCCCCCCCCGCTGCGGCAGCCCGCCTCACCGGCAAAGCTCGCCCCCGGCCCGCAGCGGGGGGATTCGCTGCGCCAGGCGGGGAGCCCCCCCCCCCCGGCCGGCCGGGCGAGGCACCGGGGAGCCCGGGCGGGTTCCTACCGGAGAAGGTGTCGAGGGCGGTGGGCTGGTACTCGTCGGGGTAGCCGTTGGTGGTGTAGCTGACGACCAGGCTGGTCTTGCCCACGGCTCCATCGCCCACCAGCACGCACTTGATGCCCAGCTCCGGGCCGCTGCCCCGGGGGGGGCTGTGTCTCCGCAGGGCAGGCGAGTAATCCAGGAGCTCTTGGGGGGGCATGGCACCGGTACCGGCACCGGCACCGGGGGCTCGGCGGGGCTCAGCGCGGGGAGCGGCGCGGCGGGACCGCTGCCATGCCCGGGCGGGCGGGTTGCTGGCGGGGCTGCGCGCTGCCGTGCGGGGCCACCCTCTCCGACCCCCCTAGCACCGCCCCCCATCGCT